ATATTCTTCTCTTTTTTTTTGAGACGGGTGGGGATTTTCAAATTTTTTTCCTGACATTTTCTTTTTAATTGCCAAGGTTTTGCAGAATCAGAAAGAATTCCAGAATAATGACCGCAGTGGTACAGAACATTATTTAAATTCTATGAACCACACAAAAAGGTCCCATAATTGACATCACCCTGAGATATTCATTTTTTTTTCAAGGATCAGAAAATTCCTTGCAAAAGAACATTTCCCACTTCATTCATCATCTTCATCGGCATCATCATCAACCTTGAAACTTTATAACATTTGCATGTAAAACAATAGGCACATTCTTCTTTAAAAAAAAAAAAAAAATCAGACAAAAGAAAAAGCTAAAAGAAAAAGGGAAAAATAAATAGGAGAAAGAAAAGGTTTATGATTTTTAATCCAAGTGCTAGAAAGTCAATTAGGGATGTGGTACAAACCAAGGGCAAAGCTGCCATCTGCCTCCTCCTAGTCCACATCACTCAAGTAGAAAATCTGTCTTTGAGTAAAGACTTGACCTTCAGGTGAGCAGATGTTATTTTATAGTTTTCATCATTCCAGATAGAAATCTGACATGACAGATTCAAGCTATTATTTTTAATAACTTTCTTAATATAATTGGGTATAGTCAGGTAAAGTAACTCAGCAATGGGATGGCTAGATAGCTAGATAGATATGAACAGACTGATATAGATAGATAGATAAGATAGATAGATAGATAGATAGATAGATAGATAGATAAGACTGAGATAGATAGATAGATATGAAAAGACTGAAATAGATAGATATGAAAAGACTGAAATATATAGATAGATAGATAGATAGATAGATAGATAGATAGATAGATAGATAGATATGAAAAGACTGAAATATATAGATAGATAGATAGATAGATAGATATGAAAAGACTGAAATAGATAGATAGATAGATAGATAGATAGATAGATAGATAGATATGAAAAGACTGAAATAGATAGATAGACAGATAGATATGAAAAGACTGAGATAGATCAATAGACAGATATGAATAGACTGAGATAGATATGAACAGAGAGATAATTAGATATATAAGAAAATACTGTGATAGATAGATATGAACAGATTGAGATAAATAGATATGAACAGACTGAAATAGGTAGATAGATATAAACAGATTGAGATAGAAAGATACATAGAGATGAACAAACTGTGATAGATAGATATGAATAGATTGAGATATATATGAACAGACTGATATTGATACATAGATATGAACAGAGAGCAATAGGTATGTATGAATAGACTGTGATAAATAGATATGAACATACTGAGATAGATATGAACATACTGAGATTGATATGAACTGATGTAGATATATATGAACAGAATGAGGTAGATACATATATATGAACAGGCTGAGATAGATAGACATAGACTGATATGAACATACTGAGATAGGTTGATCGATATAAAGAGATTGAGATAGAAAGATACATAGATATGTAGAAACTGAGATAGATATCAATAGACAGACAGATATGAACAGACTGTGATAGATATGACACTGATATATATGAATAGATTGAGATAGATAAATAGTTAGATATGAACAGACTGAGATAGATAGATATGAACTTAGATAGAGAGATAGATATGAACAGAGATAGGTAGATAGATATAAATAGATTGAGATAGATACATAGATATGAACAAACTGAGATAGATAACAGATATGAACAGACTGAGATAGGTAGATAAAATCACTCCACTATTTTTTGCACGAATACTCTTCACAGATATCAAAGAAAAGAAGCTGCAGAGAGCCATGATCAGCTATGTTCTGAAATGAAAATAAATTATCAGATGTAAGGATTGATCTGAAATTAATGCCTCTGATTTATTTCCATGAAAATTACAATAGATGCTGGGAACAGAACATGTTTTCAGCAACAAAAACTTTATTTTTACACCATAATCACCATCAGTGTTTATGCATTTTTGAGACACACTTTGTTGAAATGACAGTTGTGCAGGGACGTTCGGGACATGCCTTTTCATACACATCACAGTTATCACTGCTAAAATTCATTACCCACTAACTTACTGTGCTCACATCTACTCTTCCATTTCCATAAACCTTCAGTAAGGACCAATGAATGTCAATGGGTGTAATTTTCCCACATGAAAGAATTCAGTTCTGCACAATTGATTTGAATGCACTTTCACATCACTGTTAACTGTAATAAGTCAAAAATCCCCAACACAAACTTGCAAAGCAGCTCAACTAATTAACTATAATGTCCTTGGATATCTTACCTTACACCTCCTTAATGACAGCCTTGAGAGTATTGATATTATCTTGTTAATAGCTTGCATCAAAATGGCACAGCATAGTCTAGCAGGTTCAATTCAGTCTAGGCTAAAGGTGAGTGCCAAAGTCTGCTGACCTTAAATCAGAAAGCAACTTTTGCATTTTCTTTGCTGAGTACACCATCATGAGTTTGTGGATTTTTGGCCTTGAGCTTTGATGAAAAACATAGTACCTTGTCATAGGCATCAGCACCTACATTTCTTGGAGAATATGGGCATCATTTTCCTGTTAGAGGCCATGACAACCAAGATCATCACCTCGACTAGATGCTTGGCCCTGAAGGTGTCCTGAACATCATTATTAAAATAATTTTTGAACTTAGTCCATTTCATAATATATGTTGTCATTTGTTTATATTATGATACACTTTGAGCAGATATGATTGTTTGAGAAAAATCATGGGAAATTTGTTGTTTAAAAACAGTAATTTGACTTTGCTAACCAGACACTTCCTCTGTAGCTAAATAGTATAGCACGTCAGGCCAAATGACGGTTCTGTGTAGGATACAGCTTCAATTCCTGTTGGAGGACACATATTTTCTACAAAATTTCCAAGACATTCAGGCCGGTAAATGAAATTAATACTGTTTATTATAAACAGAGCATTTACTTAAATATTTGTATCTATAAAAATAACATCTAACCAGAAAATACATTAAAATAATTGCCAGATGAAGTCCATTTCATATATATATATATATATATATATATATATAGATAGATAGATAGATAGATAGATATTTACTTAATATATTGTACATAAAGTGCTGGTTTTAACAAAAGCATGCTCAATGTAATATAAAAGATCTATACATATATATATATATATAAAAGATCTATACATATATATATATATATATATATATATATATATATATATATATATATATATATATATATATATAAAGAAAACAGTAAGATATATAATCCATGTTCTTATAGATATTTTTATTTTTAAAAAATAGTGCTCAATGTAAATTTACAGAGCATTAATATTATAAATTAATTCATTTTAAATATGGTTTTTCCCCTACACAGTTCTAAACATGTTTCAAAATGGAAGGTCCGAATTTAATTTTGTAATTAAATTAAAGACATTAGTTCCATTTCATCCTCAAGCAAATTTTGGAGTAACTTTTAAAAATTACTGGGTTTAAAGACAGCAAAAATCATAATTCACGTTTCCAAGGATACAGAGAAATTCATTTCAACCAGACGAGGGGTGTTTGCGTGTTCATTATGTCTGTATTTTGATGTATCAGTTATTAGTTACGTTTTGGTAGAGGGTAGGGATGGAACTAATGTCTTTAATTTAATTACAAAATTAAATTCGGACCTTCCATTTTTGAAACTATTATGGTCAGTCTTCACACCATGAAGATTGCAGTCAAGTATGAAACAAACTATTGCCATTCGGTGTTGAACACTGTCTTCACACTGCTTATATTTACATATTCTCTATTCCAGATATTGCAGACTGTAAGCAATCTCCTACAATCAAAAATGTTTCAGCATTAAATAATTTACAAGGGGTTGATAAGCAGTAAAAAAGAAATCAACATTACCATATAAATGTATCATGTCTTAAAACTATATTTTATCACACACACACACACACATATATATATATATATATATATATATATATATATATATAGAGAGAGAGAGAGAGAGAGGGATAATAACCAGTAAAACTGCTCAATAGATGCTTGATTCAAATTGTTACTTTGAGTTTTATGCCAAGCGATCATTAGGTGTCTTTTCTCTATTGTCTTTCTTCTTTTTTTATATTTTATTTCTTTTCTTTTTTGTTTTCTTTTTTGTTTGTTTGGTGATAGCTTCTTTTTCTTTTGTTGCTTTAAGTTTTTTAATTTGCAAAACTTACTCTTGGTAGCTTGGTATTTGAAAATTTTATCAATAGTTTGGTTTTATATGTATATATATATATATATATATAGAGAGAGAGAGAGGAAAAGAGAGAGAGAATGAGAGACTTATTCTCCACTCAGTAGTCTCTTTCCAACAGAACTTTTTTTGCAAACCTATCAAAATTCTGTTACTATTTCCATAGCAAATGTTCAGATATACTCCATTCCTTAGTTTCACCAGTTCAGACCTTTACATGTAGGACACACAGTATTATTTCCACAGAGTCAAATCACTAACATTTCCTCCATGTTTAAATTGTATGAAAAAAAATTATACTCAGGCAACTTTTTACCAAAAATTGCTACTTTGTGAAACAGACTTCAATGTTGATGTTTCTCTGAACATGACAATTTTAGCTTTGTCAAGTCAGGGGTCATTCATTATCCTATCACCACTTCCTCTTTGATTCATATCAATTTGATCATAAGAATTTTAGCAGTAACCTTTGAGCCCTTGAGTCTTGTACTGGATGAAAAAAAAAACTTATCATGGCTCCAAAGCTCCCTGTCTAAGTGATCACATCCTTACCAGTTGAGCTGCAGCTGGTTAGTGATGATAATAGTGAAGAGATGAAAAAGTGGTCCTCAGACAATAAGACTTCAGATATCTTCTTCATAGTCAATTCATTGAATAAATCCAAATAATAAACATGAATGTTGCTTCAGTATTAAATTATAAAAATCAGAGAGGAGAAATAGAAAGGGAGAACAAAATGAAGAGAGAATCAACAGAATCACAACTGAAGTTTATTGATATCACTTCCTCCTTTTTCTTCTTCTTCTTCTTCTCTTTTTTCTTTTCCTCTCCTCCTACCTTTACTTTTCCTCTTTTTCCTTTTCCTCTCCTTCTACCTTTACTTCTCCTCTTCCTCCTTTTTCTTCTTCTTCTTCTTCTCTTTTTCCTTTTCCTCTCCTTCTACCTTTACTTCTCCTCTTCCTCCTTTTTCTTATTCTTCTTCTTCTCTTTTTCCTTTTCCTCTCCTTCTACCTTTACTTCTCCTCTTCCTCCTTTTTCTTATTCTTCTCCTTCTCTTTTTCCTTTTCCTCTCCTTCTACCTTTACTTCTCCTCTTCCTCCTTTTTCTTATTCTTCTCTTTTTTCTTTTCCCCTCCTCCTACCTTTACTTCTTCTCTTTTTCCTTTTCCTCTGCTTCTACCTTTACTTCTCCTCATCCTCCTTTTTCTTATTCTTCTCCATCTCTTTTTTCTTTTCCTCTCTTCCTACCTTTACTTCTCCTCTTACTCCTTTTTCTTATTCTTCTCTTTTTTCTTTTCCTCTCCTCCTACCTTTACTTCTTCTCTTTTTCCTTTTCCTCTCCTTCTACCTTTACTTCTCCTCTTCCTCTTTTTTCTTATTCTTCTCCTCCTCTTTTTTCTTTTCCTCTCCTCCTACCTTTAATTCTCCTCTTTCCTCCTTTTTTCTTATTCTTCTTCTCCTCTTTTTCTTTTCTCTCCTCCTACCTTTACTTCTTTTTTCCTCCTCCTTTTCTTATTCTTCTCCTTCTCTTTTTCCCTCCTCCTTTTTTTCTCCTCTTCATCCTTTTTCTTATTCTTCTTCTTTTTTTTTTCCTTTCCTTCTCCTACCTTTACTCCTCTTCCTCCTTTTCTTCTTCTTCTTCTTCTTTTTCTTTTCCTCTCCTCCTACCTTTACTTCTTCTCTTTTTCCTTTTCCTCTCCTTCTACCTTTACTTCTCCTCTTCCTCCTTTTTCTTCTTCTTCTTCTTCTCTTTTTTCTTTTCCTCTCCTCCTACCTTTACTTCTTCTCTTTTTGCTTTTCCTCTCCTTCTACCTTTACTTCTCCTCTTCCTCCTTTTTCTTATTCTTCTCCTTCTTCTTTTTCTTTTTCCTCTCCTCCTTCCTTTACTTCTCCTCCTTTCCTTCATCTTTACTTCTCCCTTTTCCTATTCTTATTCTTCTCTTTTTTCTTTTCCTCTCCTCCTACCTTTACTTCTCCTCATCATCCTTTTTCTTATTCTTCTTCTTTTTTTAATTTCCTCTCCTTCCTACCTTTACTTCTCCCTCTTCCTCCTTTTTCTTATTCTTCTTCTTTTTTTTTTCCTCTCCTCCTACCTTTTACTTCCTTCTTATCTTTTTTTTCTTTTCCTCTCCTCCTTCTACCTTTATCTTTTCCTCTCCTTCCCTTTTCTTCCTCTTTTTCTTATTCTTCTTCTTCTTTTTTTCTTTCCTCTCCTCCTACCTTTACTTCTCCTCTTCCTCCTTTTTTTCTTATTCTTCTCCTTCTCTTTTTCTTTTCTCTCCTCCTACCTTTACTTTTCCTCTTCCTCCTTTTCTTCTTCTTCTTCTCTTTTCCTTTTCCTCTCCTTCTACCTTTACTTCTCCTCTTCCTCCTTTTTTTCTTATTCTTCTCCTTCTTTTTTTTTCCTCTCCTCCTACCTTTACTTCTCCTCTTCCTCCTTTTATTCTTCTCCTCCTCTTTTTTCTTTTCCTCTCCTCCTACCTTTAATTCTCCTCTTCCTCCTTTTTCTTATTCTTCTTCTCCTCTTTTTTCTTTTCCTCTCCTCCTACCTTTAATTCTCCTCTTCCTCCTTTTTCTTATTCTTCTCCTCCTCTTTTTCTTTTCCTCTCCTCCCTACCTTTTACTTCTCCTCTTCCTCCTTTTTTTCTTATTCTTCTTCTCTTTTTCCATTTCCTCTCCTTCTACCTTTACTTCTCCTCTTCCTCCTTTTTCTTATTCTTCTCCTTCTCTTTTTTCTTTTCCTCTCCTCCTACCTTTACTTTTCCTCTTCCTCCTTTTTCTTATTCTTCTCCTTCTCTTTTTTCTTTTCCTCTCCTCCTACCTTTACTTCTCCTCTTCCTCCTTTTTCTTATTCTTCTCCACTTCCTTTTCCTTTTTCTTGTCCTCCTCCTCCCCTTTGTTATCCTTTTCCTCCTCCTTTTTCTTCTTCTCCACCTCCTTCTCAATTTTCTTTTGATCTTCCTCCTTCTCCTTGTTCTTTAACTGACATCCAATCTGTTGTTAACTGGGGCAAGGAATCATTTGTAAATTTTAATGCCTCCAAAACAAAACTGATATTATTTAATCACTATGGAAAACATTTTCTTCCTTTCATCAGCATGGCTGATTCTAACCACTGGGAAAGTAATTCTTTCTTGGGCTCCTATTTTCCATGGACATGAAATGGAGTCATCAATTGCTAGGTATACTCCCAGGAAAGTTGCCTCACCATACCATGATTTTTCTCATTCGAATTCGTTTTGCATATTTATAAATCTACCATTCTTCTTTGCATGGAATATTGCTGTCATATCTGGTCGAGTGCTCCTGCTACATATCTTGAGATTTTCAACAAAATTCAAAGAAGGGTCTGTAATATAATAAGTCCTGACCTGGCATCTCAACTTCAGTCACTTTCCCACCACCATAACTGAGGCTTTCCTCTGTCTTTTCTACAAATATTTTCATGGCAGTTGCTCTGATGAGCTTTCCTCCTTGGTACCTCATGAATTTAAGCATATTACTAGATTGGTAAGTAGGTCTCCCCATTTTACTTTTTTACTAACAAACATAAGTTCTATTCTAATAGTTTCTTTTCTTGCACTCCTCAGTTGTAAAACCCTCTTCCATTTTCTTCCTTCCCTGCTTACCTACAATCCTTAAACATTTAAATCAATGCCAATCTTCTGTCTTCCTGAAGCCTGTTCTTTTCTTGTCTTCTCTCCTCACTAAAGATCCTAGTCTTCTCATAATACCAATGGTAAATATTATCAAAATGTAGACACTTTTTTCTTTTTCCTCATTAATATTGACCTCATACCAGCCACACAAGGTAGAGGTTATACTGAAGAAGTTTTTGTGTGGGCAGTAAGTGTAAGCGGTATAGAGTGATTATGTGAATATGTAGGAAAAATAACAGTTAATCCTCGTCTTGAACAGATTAAGATACTAGTTGTTAAGAAAGCATGTTCTTGGGAGTCAGTTAAACAAAGTAGCAATTCATGGGAAGAAGCTGTTTGAGTGGAATTTCCTTCTCACTAATATAAAAAGAATGTAGTGTGTCAGGTCTTAGCTGTGTCCATTGGTGGTATTAAGGAATCTATGTAATCTGAACATTCTCCATAGAAATAGCGATAGAGTAGCAGGAAGCTAGCAATGTTTTGTCTAATGGGAAAGGGATTGTAGGGTGGAAAATAATTCATTGTCCACATATAAATGTTTTTGGACTTTATCAAGACTGAAAAGTGAAGACGAGATATGGCAGCTGTACCCTTATTTTCAGCCTGTAATGGTAGAGCATAGCAGAAGTGAAGTACTTACTGAAGCAATTTAGAGAACTCACCATTTGCACAGATCCCAGTGGAACATCTTCCCTACCCAGTTTTGCCTATTCTCATTTTCTTTTCCAGACAACCTTTTACATTCAGAGGTTCACATCTTCAACACAGTCTACAGTCATATTTGTTTGTTCTTTTTTGTCATTATCTAAATTGATTCAGATTCACTCTTAAATTTTCCACTATGTAACTAAAGTCCATATAGCTTGGTTATCTTTCATGAACTTTTCTGGTCATTATTTTCCAAAGATTGACTGACAAAATATCTTTTTTAATTCATCAGCACCTTTCAAGATATCCTTGCAAAAGCCAGGTGTACCATGTTTCAATACTTAGTTATTCCAATACCCAAAATATTAAATCTATTATTGGTACTGTACCAAGTCTTAAATGTGAAACCACAAGCGATGTCTTGGTTGTTATTATTATTATCACTATCTATTCTACATCCTTTGCATTAGCTATGTTCTTTCATATTTATTATTATTACTAATTACTGTTATTGTTATTACGATTATTATTATTATTATATTCTTTCTTAATCATTATTACAGTTATTCTTATTATTACAGATGTTTCTTTCATATTCAGCATTATGATTGTCATTATTGTCATTGTTATATTCTTATATATTCATTATTATTACTCATTATTATTATTGCCAAATTTACTTATAAATATTATTACTGTTATTTTTATTGTAATGGATGTTTGATATTCATTATTACAATTTATTGATACAAATATATTCTTTCATTTTGATTATTGTGATTATTATTATTGATATGGATATATTCTGTCATATTCACTATTATATTTGTTATTAGTATTGTCATTGTTACTGTCATATACTTTCATATTCATCATTATGACTGTTATTATTATTATTTTTATTATTATGTTCTTTCCTATTCATTATTATTACTGTTATTCATATTATTAAGGATGTTTCTTTCATATTCATTATTTGGACTGTTATTATTAATGACACAGATATATTCTTTTATACTCATTATTATGATTGTTATTACTGATGTGGATATATTCTTTCATAAATCTTATTATAGGTATTTCCTATTTTTTTTTTTTTTTTTTTTTTGGGGGGGGGGTCAAACAGAACCCCAGTTACAGAAAATCTTCTCTAAATTGTAAAATAATAAATGCAATGAAACTAAGAAATTATCTAATTAGAAAATCTTTTAATTTCTTTTATGAATAAGATATATTATAGACACGATTGTCTTAAGAAAAAAAAAACTTTGAAGAATAATGAATTTTTACAAGAATTGTTTTCATTTTTTTAAATTTTAATTAGAATAATTTATAAAGTTTAAAATCTTTTAAATTTCTATATTAATTTGTACCAGTTAGGTGATATTGTCATTAAGTAAAAACCATATTTATTAATCATAAATGGAAAAGGTTACTACAATTCATCGCCGCCCAATATGTCAAAAAGAAATATAAATTTTTTTTTGTGTATGTACAAACACACCAATTTTTGTAAATATGAATGAACATACACAGCATTAACAGAAAATAAGAACAATAACTATAGTAAATTTAAAACCAAAGTACTTAAAATTCAATAAAACATTAGGTTTTGGAGAATATTTTCCTAAATTTTTAAGATTATTGGGTGGTTAACAGTTATGTAAAATGGTGCTCACATTATATTCCTCAAATCATTTTTACAGATAAGTTCACTGTAGAAAAAATTAGCTAAACTTTCAGTTGTCAGTCAAGCTGTCAACCTGCCAACATCTTAAATAAACACTTACCTCCATGTTAAAAAATGCATTTCTGTGATATTTTAAACTAAAAGTAAATATTTTTTAAAATCAGATTAATTAAACTTTAAATCAGTTAATATTCCTCAAACATAGTTTTAGAAAAGTATATTTTATTTTTGAAATATTTTTTAATAAAGAGAATTACATTGTGATGACAGATGGCTAAAAATGGCTAAAATCAGTGATTTTTACTGATTTAAAAAAAATTTTCTAGTCAATTTAAATTAGTTTGAAATACCAATACAATATTAAATTTAATCTATTAGCTTGAAATTAGAATTTTTCCTTTTTTAAAATTCATTCTAAACTTTAGGTATCACACTTCTGTGGAGATACTTACGTTATTATGACTTATTGTTATCATTTGTTATTACTGCTATGGCTATATACTTTCATATTCATTATTATGTCTCTTACTTTTATTAGCATTGTTACAGCTATTTTCTTTCACTTTCCCTTTTTTCCTCTCTTTTATGATTCTTCTATTTTATTCCCTTTCTCGTTCATTCTTCTTCTTTCATCACTTCCATCATGATGATCATGATAATAGTCATAATCATGATGATGACAATGATGATAATCATCATCATCACTGAAACTATTTTCTTTCTTTTTTTATTCTCTTGATGCTTTCCTTCATTCGATTTCTTTTGTATTGTACTTTAAAATTCATCTTCAAATCCTTATTTTTCTTTCGTCTTTGCCAGTTTCATTCTTATCATAAATTACCTTTCACGATTTATTTGTTCAACATATATTTCATCTCTTCTTCATTTCTTATCTCTTGTCTTTCTCATCTTCAAAGCCTCATGTTTTTTTTTTTTCATTTTCTTATCAACATAATTTTCTTTATTCTTTCAGGTTTGCTGCTAATTATTCAATCATTCTTTACCGTAACTTTTTTCTTGCTTCTCCTAAGACAGTTTATTCTTTTCTTCGCTCTACTCATAAACCTTGTTTTCTACCTTTTATGAGTTATCTAGGTTTTCTAATAAAAAAAGTCAATAAAATCTAACACAAAAGATGAAAAATATCGATGCCCACATACTTACGTATGAATATGTGTGTTAGAGAGGGGGCGGCTAGGTAAATGGCTGTCAATGAAGAGTACTCATTTCTACACACATGTACACACACATACATATTTGTGCATGTGTGACTGAATGTTTGTACATGAATATATAAGTATGTATAAATAAACATAACTATTGGTACATACTCCAAAATCATATCAGTAAACACACACACAAACATATATATATATATATATATATATATATATATATATATATATATATATATATATATATATATATATATATATATATATATATATTAAATATATATATATATATATATATATATATATATATATATATATATATATATATATATATATATATATATATATATATATATATATATACATACATACATACATACATA